GAATGTCCAACTGATAAGGCTGAAAATTTTTTCACTTGTTATTTACAGTAAGATAAATACATGCACCAACTTTTATTAAAATAAAACCATTTAAACTGGGTGTTCGGATTTATATGTCACTTAGTATATAACTTAATAAATACTGCTCGGAACTGGATAAAGCTTACTACTGTGTACAGGACAAAAAAGCTTTGTAGCTTTTAAAAATTGGTCCAGTGGTGGCGGAAAAAAAATACCAATGACGGAAACAATAGGAATCGTCAATTCCTCAATATCGATGTTCGTATGTTCGAAGAAATAAAACGATTTTTGGCACTATATGGAAAATTTTGACTTACCTCTAGTTAGTAATTTCACTGTAGGAAGTTATTACATTTCTGAAGCTTCTAGTTTATCACTGTGAGCAAAATTCTTAGGGTTTCTGTGATTAGATTACGGCACATGGGCTAGCGCCTCATGAAAATAAACAACCGAAATCAAATTAATGGCTGATAGGACATATACTGATTGAGAAAAACTGGTATACAGCTACGTATGTATATTAGAAGTCAAGAATTTTTCACATATCGATTTATCTTGCCATGGACAACACGTGACGAAATGGTCAGGTTATTCTGTAAAGTTTTGTGGTGGCTGCGTGTATTGTTTGGCGATAAAGATGCATTCAGTTTTCGTACATTTACGGTGCCAGTTAAATGTTAAATTTACGTGCAGCTTGCTGAGAAGCTTATTCGTGATTGCTCAAAATGCCTAAATGCCAGAAGGACCACAGACCGACAAGACCGCCAGTTAAGACTTCTGGGTCTGAGAGATAGATTCAGTAGTACTCGTGCTATCGCTAGTCAGTGGTTTGGAGAGCATGGAAGGATGGTAGGTTTGCGAACGGTATATCACCGAATACGACCGTTTGGCCTTTTTTCTTATCGCCCTTCACAACTGAACGTCGCCGTAACCGTTTGCTCTGGTGTAGAAAAAGAATTCTACGGCACCGGGAATGGAATCAGGTGGTCTTCAGTGACGAATCCCTTTTCTGTCTGGGGATGCACGACGGTGGAGCAAGAGTGAGAAGGCGACGTGGTGAAAGACTTGACCCACAATTTGACAGAAAGCGTCACGTTCACCACATCGAGGGAGTTATGGTATGTGGTGCTATTGCTTAGGGTAGCAGATCACCACTAATTTTCATCAGATACGATATCACAGCCCGACGCTATATTCAGGAAACCCGATTTTTAAGCAGGACCCAGACCGCATGTTTCGAGAGAATCGTTAGCCTTCATGGATCAACATCGCATAAACCGTTTGGCTTGATAGGCCGCAGACTCTTCAATTTGCAACACCCTCCACAGACTTTAGCAGCTCTTTCTCACGAAGTTGCAGTAGCCTGGAATGAGATACCCCAACAGGATATCGACCACCTTATCAGCACGATCCCCAGGCGTGTCAATGGGTGTATATAAAATCGTGGATCCTCAACACATTATAGAACCAGCTGCTGCTGTCAGTTGACGAATCAAGCTGAAAATTTAATCATTTTACCAGTAAGGGACACTGAACATATATGCGAAAGATTGATGAGTTAGCTTTGAAAAAGCTTTTCAGTTAACTGTTTGGTATTTTAAAGGCAGTGTGTTAGAGAAAGATGTATCGCATATACGTAAAAATACAGCCATATTTAGCTCGAGGGTATTCCCGTTTTATGCACACAAGGTGTTTCAGTTTATTGTTGCATAACTTTAAGATAGAACTTTTAAAATTAATGCATAAAGTCTATATAAACATGGGTCGAAAAATGCGTGGCTTCCGAAATACAGGGTGTTTAAATTTACTTTCTAAAGTAGTTGTTTTTTAAATATTTCGAACAATATTTGATGTATAACAGTGAAAATTGGTATACGAGGATTTTTTGGTACGACAAAATGAACCATGGGCATAGTTTCACTGTAGCCGCTAGAGGGCGCTCCCTACTGTACCTGGAGAGTATTGAAATGACCGAAACATTTTTCTTAGTGCAATTTTTTGCTTTTTGAATGAAAAAACTGATTCTTCGCACTTTTCAACATAAAAAAGCTCTCTTGTGAATCTTCGTTATAGTTAGCCGTTTCTGAGACATTTCGATTTTTAAGGTTCGATGCATTTTTAATTATTTATGATAAAATAACGTTAAAAAGTCAGTATCTCGATAATTTTTAGAAGTAGGCTGTGCCTGCAAATATTTTTGAAATTGAAAGCAGAATAAGGTTAAACGTCAAGTATTTGACAGTTAGTTTTGTTGTCTGTTGAAACCTGAAACGTTTTTTTGCAATTGTGAATGCACCAAATTTAGTTTCTTTTACCTGTTTTTTTTTTGTAAGTTTTATAAAAATGCCATTTTTATTCTCCAATCAAGAGTTAGCGGATATTCATTTTGTGTATGGCTTTGTAAATGGAAACGCAGCAGAAGCAGCCAGAGAATACGCACGAAGATTTCCAATCAGACGACATCCAACTCGCTCAGTATTTGTAAGAGTGTATCGCCAAATAATTGAAAATGGTTTTGGATATCTCCAAAGGGATCAAAACATAAATGTTCGTCAGCGCAGATTCACCCGTATGATTCTGCGTGAGTTTGATAGAGATCCGACCACAAGTGTTAGGAGAGTTTCTGGTGCCTTGGGAATTTCAGCAAGCCATGTTCACCGTGTTCTTAGAAATGACCATTGACGTCCTTACCATTTGCAACCTGTGCAAGGGCTACAGCCAGGGGACGGAAAACGAAGAATCACATATTGTCAGTGGATTCTTGATAGAACTGATAATAATAGGGAGTTTTTAAGTAACGTTTTATGGACCGATGCAGTTCGGGAAAGAAATTTTCAGCATGAATTTAGTGTGAACGTGTGGATTGGTATGTACCGTAATCGACTATTTGGACCCTACCTTTTGCCTGCAAGGTTGAATGCTGCGACCTTCTTGGAATTTTTAAAGGCTGAACATGCAAATATGTGGGATGGTGTTATGTTAGATTTAAGAAGATTGGCCTGGTTCCAGCTTGATGGTTGTCCAGCTCATTATTCGAGAATAGTTAGAAACTGGCTGGACGAAAATTATCCAGAAAGATGGATCGGCCGTGGAGGACCAGTCGCTTGGCCTCCACGATCCCCTGACCTAAATCCATTAGATTTCTTTGTGTGGGGATTTCTAAAAGAAAAAGTGTACCAGACTGCCATAAGCACCAGAGATATGCTAATAGACAGAATCAGGAATGCATGTGATGAAATAAGGCCTTATTTGAATAATGCTATACCATGTTCGATCATTCGTAGATGTGAATTGTGTATTGAACAATTGGGTTTACATTTCGAGCAACTACTTTAGATTTTGTATGATTGTCCTAACTATCCAATAGCATTTTAGTTGTAAATAATTAATTTAATTTGTTAAAAATAATATTGGAATAATAAACAAATTAATATTCTGTTTTTTTGTGTTTATTTGGAGTTAGGAATTATTGCTGTGTTTAAAAACACAATCTAAACGATCATCTTAATTACTTGTAATGCCCAAATCGAAAATGTAAAAAAAATATTATTTTCCCATAAATAATTAAAAATTCATCGAACCTTAAAAATCGAAATATCTCAAAAACGGCTAACTATAACGAAAACTCACAGGAGAGCTTTTTTATGTTGAAAAGTGCGAAGATTCACTTTTTTTATTTAAAAAGAAAAAAATTGTACAAGATGGATAATTTTCAATAACTCCAATGATCATTCTAATTAGCAGCCTCGCTGTAAGAACTTCAAAGGCTTCTAGTTCTTTTGAAAAAAACGCATAGGATTTCCATAATTGGAACACCAATTTTAGGAAATCGTTTTGTTCTTACTATGCTAGATCCAAGTTCAGATATGATCAGAACCTAATAAAGAAATCCAATAGAGATTCAAAACGTCGTCTCAAAAATTACTAGAACTGTTTCAATCTCCCAGTTAGAAGGACCAAATTAATATTCCATTTCGGCCTTCTAAAACCACGTTACATGGGCCAGCGCCTCTCCAAAATTTAGCAAAAATAAGTAATCAAAACTATATTAATGAATGATAGGATTGAAATAATTTTGACATTTAGCAAAAATAAGCAATCAGAATCAAATTAATGAAAGATAGGGTAGAAATAATCTTGAAATGAATTGCAATAGTGGATATTGGTGAGACAGCTGTGTAAAAGCTTCTGAGCCAATTGTTTGGTATTTTGAAGGAGGAAACACGTAAAAACACAGCCATATTTACATCGAATTCTAGTATTACGCAGTTATTTTGGCAGCTTCAACATAACCCTTAGCTCGCATTTCAATCTAGGGCTCCTTAACTAATAAAAACTTGACACTCTCTTTTTCTTGGGATACTGTTTCCACTACGTTTTAACACTTAATTACGAGGTTGTCGTCAGGTATCAATGAGTGAGGTTTGAAGTCAATCGCAGTTGATGTTGGTATGTTTGAAGAAATAGGATTTTTGATACTACATGCATAGTTTTCGCTTACTATAACGAGCATACCAGTTAGCAACCTCGCTGAAAGAAGTTAAAACATTTCAGAGGTTTGTAGTTTTATTCTGTAAGAGAAACGCATAGGGTTTCTGTAATAGGAATACCAATTTTAGCAAATCGTTTCGTTCTTACTATGCTAGATCCAAGTTCAGATATGATCAGAACCTAATAAAGGAATCCAATAGAGATTCAAAACGTCATCTCAAAAATTATTAGAACTGTCTCTATCTCCCAGTTAGAAGGACCAAATTAATATTCCATTCCGGCCTTCTAAAACTGCGTTACATGGGCCAGCGCCTCTCCAAAATTTACCAAAAATAAGCAATCAAAATTATATTAATGAATGATAGGATTGAAATAATCTTGAAATCAATTGCAATAGTGGATATTGGTGAGACTGCTGTGTAAAAGCTTCTGAGCTAATTGTTTGGTATTTTATAGGAGGAGACACGTAAAAACACAGCCATATTTACCTCGAATTCCAGTTTGATGCAGTTATCTTGGCAGCTTCAACATAACCGTTAGCTCGCATTTCAATCTAGGGCTCCTTAACTAATAAAAATTTGACACTCTCTTTTTCTTGGCATACTGTTTCCACTACGTTTTAACACTTAATGATGAGGTTGTCGTCAGGTATCAATAAGTGAGGTTTGGAGTCAATCGCGGTTGATGTTGGTATGTTTGAAAAAATAGGATTTTTGATACTACATGCATAGTTTTCGCTTACTATAACGAGCATACCAGTTAGCAACCTCGCTGAAAGAAGTTAAAACATTTCAGAGGTTTCTAGTTTATTCTGTAAGAGAAACGCATAGGGTTTCTGTAATAGGAATACCAATTTTAGCAAATCGTTTCGTTCTTACTATGCTAGATCCAAGTTCAGATATGATCACAATCTAATTAAGAAATCCAATAGAGATTCAAAACGTCGTCTCAAAAATTACTAGAACTGTTTCTATCTCCCAGTTAGAAAGACCAAATTCATATTTCATTTCGACCTTCTAAAACTATTTTACATGGGCCAGCGCCCCTCCAAAATTTACCAAAAATAAGCTATCAAAATTATATTAATGAATGATAGGATTGAAATAATTTTGACATTTAGCAAAAATAAGCAATCAGAATCAAATTATTGAAAGATAGGGTAGAAATAATCTTGAAATGAATTGCAATAGTGGATATTGGTGAGACAGCTGTGTAAAAGCTTCTGAGCTAATTGTTTGGTATTTTGAAGGAGGAAACACGTAAAAACACAGCCATATTCACCTCGAATTCTAGTTTGATGCAGTTATTTTGGCAGCTTCAACATAACCCTTAGCTCGCATTTCAATCTAGCGCTCCTTAACTAATAAAAATTTGACACTCTCTTTTTCTTGGAATACTGTTTCCACTACGTTTTAACACTTAATTACGAGGTTGTCGTCAGGTATCAATGAGTGAGGTTTGGAGTCAATCGCAGTTGATGTTGGTATGTTTGAAGAAATAGGATTTTTGATACTACATGCATAGTTTTCGCTTACTATAACGAGCATTCCAGTTAGCAACCTCGCTGAAAGAAGTTAAAACATTTCAGAGGTTTGTAGTTTTATTCTGTAAGAGAAACGCATAGGGTTTCTGTAATAGGAATACCAATTTTAGCAAATCGTTTCGTTCTTACTATGCTAGATCCAAGTTCAGATATGATCAGAATCTAATTAAGAAATCCAATAGAAATTTAAAACGTCGTCTCAAAAATTACTAACTGTTTCTGTCTCCCAGTTAGAAGGGCCAAATTAATGTTTCATTTCGACCTTCTAAAACCACGTTACATGGGCCAGCGCCTCTCCAAAATTTAGCAAAAATAAGTAATCAAAACTATATTAATGAATAATAGGATTCAAATAATTTTGAAATTTAGCAAAAATAAGCAAACAGAATCAAATCAATTAATGATAGGGTAGAAATAATCTTGAAATGAATTGGAATAGTGGATATTGGTGAGACAGCCGTGTAAAAGCTTCTGAGCTAATTGTTTGGTATTTTGAAGTAGGAAACACGTAAAAACACAGCCATATTTACCTCGAATTCTAGTTTTATGCAGTTATTTTGGCAGCTTCAACATAACCCTTAGCTCGCATTTCAATCTAGGGCTCCTTAACTAATAAAAATTTGACACTCTCTTTTTCTTGGCATACTGTTTCCACTACGTTTTAACACTTAATGATGAGGTTGTCGTCAGGTATCAATAAGTGAGGTTTGGAGTCAATCGCGGTTGATGTTGGTATGTTGGAAGAAATAGGATTTTTGATACTACATGCATAGTTTTCGCTTACTATAACGAGCATACATACTAGTTAGCAACCTCGCTGAAAGAAGTTAAAACATTTCAGAGGTTTCTAGTTTTATTCTGTAAGAGAAACGCATAGGGTTTCTGTAACAGGAATACCAATTTTAGCAAATCGTTTCGTTCTTACTGTGCTAGATCTAAGTTCAGATATGATCAGAACCTAATAAAGAAATCCAATAGAGATTCAAAACGTCGTATCAAAAATTACAAGAACTGTTTCTATCTCCCAGTTAGAAGGACCAAATTCATATTTCATTTCGACCTTCTAAAACTATTTTACATGGGCCAGCGCCTCTCCAAAATTTAGCAAAAATAAGTAATCAAAACTATATTAATGAATGATAGGATTGAAATAATTTTGAAATTTAGCAAAAATAAGCAATCAGAATCAAATTAATGAATGATAGGGTAGAAATAATCTTGAAATGAATTGCAATAGTGGATATTGGTGAGACTGCTGTGTAAAAGCTTCTGAGCTAACTGTTTGGTATTTTGAAGGAGGAAACACGTAAAAACACAGCCATATTTACCTCGAATTCTAGTTTTATGCAGTTATTTTGGCAGCTTCAACGTAACCCTTAGCTCGCATTTCAATCTAGCGCTCCTTAACTAATAAAAATTTGACACTCTCTTTTTCTTGGCATACTGTTTCCACTACGTTTTAACACTTAATTACGAAGTTGTCGTCAGGTATCAATGAGTGAGGTGTGGAGTCAATCGCGGTTGATATTGGTATGTTGGAAGAAATAGGATTTTTGATACTACATGCATAGTTTTCGCTTACTATAACGAGCATTCCAGTTAGCAACCTCGCTGAAAGAAGTTAAAACATTTCAGAGGTTTGTAGTTCTATTCTGTAAGAGAAACGCATAGGGTTTCTGTAATAGGAATACCAATTTTAGGAAATCGTTTCGTTCTTACTATGCTAGATCCAAGTTCAGATATGATCAGAATCTAATTAAGAAATCCAATAGAAATTTAAAACGTCGTCTCAAAAATTACTAACTGTTTCTGTCTCCCAGTTAGAAGGGCCAAATTAATATTTCATTTCGACCTTCTAAAACCACGTTACATGGGCCAGCGCCTCTCCAAAATTTAGCAAAAATAAGTAATCAAAACTATATTAATGAATAATAGGATTCAAATAATTTTGAAATTTAGCAAAAATAAGCAAACAGAATCAAATTAATTAATGATAGGGTAGAAATAATCTTGAAATGAATTGGAATAGTGGATATTGGTGAGACAGCCGTGTAAAAGCTTCTGAGCTAATTGTTTGGTATTTTGAAGTAGGAAACACGTAAAAACACAGCCATATTTACCTCGAATTCTAGTTTTATGCAGTTATTTTGGCAGCTTCAACATAACCCTTAGCTCGCATTTCAATCTAGGGCTCCTTAACTAATAAAAATTTGACACTCTCTTTTTCTTGGCATACTGTTTCCACTACGTTTTAACACTTAATGATGAGGTTGTCGTCAGGTATCAATAAGTGAGGTTTGGAGTCAATCGCGGTTGATGTTGGTATGTTTGAAGAAATAGGGTTTTTGATACTAGTTGCATAGTTTCCACTTACTATAACGAGCATTCCAGTTAGCAACCTCGCTGAAAGAAGTTGAAACATTTCAGAGGTTTCTAGTTTTATTCTGTAAGAGAAACGCATAGGGTTTCTGTAACAGGAATACCAATTTTAGCAAATCGTTTCGTTCTTACTGTGCTAGATCCAAGTTCAGATATGATCAGAACCTAATAAAGAAATCCAATAGAGATTCAAAACGTCGTCTCAAAAATTAATAGAACTGTTTCTATCTCCCAGTTAGAAGGACCAAATTAATATTCCATTTCGGCCTTCTAAAACTACGTTACATGGGCCAGCGCCTCTCCAAAATTTACCAAAAATAAGCAATCAAAATTATATTAATGAATGATAGGATTGACATAATTTTGAAATTTAGCAAAAATAAGCAATCAGAATCAAATTAATGAATGATAGGGTAGAAATAATCTTGAAATGAATTGCAATAGTGGATATTGCTGAGACAGCTGTGTAAAAGCTTCTGAATTGTTTGGTATTTTGAAGGAGGAAATACGTAAAAACACAGCCATATTTACCTCGAATTCTAGTTTTATGCAGTTATTTTGGCAGCTTCAACATAACCCTTAGCTCGCATTTCAATCTAGGGCTCCTTAACTAATAAAAATTTGACACTCTCTTTTTCTTGGGATACTGTTTCCACTACGTTTTAACACTTAATTACGAGGTTGTCGTCAGGTATCAATGAGTGAGGTTTGGAGTCAATCGCAGTTGATGTTGGTATGTTTGAAGAAATAGGATTTTTGATACTACATGCATAGTTTTCGCTTACTATAACGAGCATTCCAGTCAGCAACCTCGCTGAAAGAAGTTAAAACATCTCAAAGGTTTCTAGTTTTATTCTGTAAGAGAAACGCGTAGGGTTTCTGTGACTTGATTGCCAATTTTAGCAAATTATTTCGTTCTAGCTATGCTATAACCCAGTTCAGCTGTGATCGGGAGCTCCTGAAGCTAAGCTACAATTCAATAAAGATCCAAAACATCGTCTCAAAAATAACTACTGTTTCATCTCCAATATATCCAGCTGGAAGGACCAAATTAATATTTCATTTGGTCCTTCTACGACGATGGCACATGGGCCAGCGCCTCGCCAAAATTTAGCAGAAGTAAACAATCGGAATCAAATTAATGGACCATAGATTAAAATCAATTTCAATAGTGGATATTGATGAGATGCCTCTGATAAATATTTTGAGGTAACTGTATGGTATTTTGAACGCAGCGTGTTAAGGGAAGAAGATGTGTCGCAAATACGTAAAAAACACAGCCATATTTACCTCGAGGGCATTCCAGTTTTGTGCATTTATTTTGGCAGCTTCCACACTACCCTTAGCTCCCATTTTCGAATCTAGGACTCCTTAACGATAATCCGACTAATAAAAATTTGACACTCTCTTTTCTTGGCACACTGTCTCCACTACGTTTTGACACTTCGTTACGATGTTGGCACAGAAGACGGCGAAACGGCTGGTGTGTACGACCGTTCCATGGATCGCTTGGTCCAGGCTTTGGCACTGCGTCCTAGATCGTCCGAGAATGTCCCCAGGTATATATATAGATAAGATTTTGAATCAAACGCGGTTGAAGTGTGGCCGTCACTGGCTGGCCGTCT